GGCAAGAGGATTGCTCAAGCCCACGAGTTTGAAGTTGCTATGAGCTGTGACACCAAGCACATTGGGCTGACTTGAACAGAGTGAGACTGTCTCCAAAAAAAAAAAAAAAAAAGAAGGAAAGAAAGGAAAGAAAAAGAAAGAACGAAAAGAAAAGAAAAGGAAAGGAAAAGAAAAAGAAAAAATATTAGGCCAAGATTCTAAGTCTTCTTAACTTCCACCTGAGAGGCAACTCAGGAGATGAGCTAGGTATGCAATGGGGTGCCCTTTGACATTATCTGTAGTTGATGTCTTTACATGACTCACCATCAAAACTGTTTGGTTAGGGTAGCGCCTGTGGCTCAAGAAGTGGGGTGCCAGCCCCATATACCAGAGGTGATGAGTTCAAACCTGGCCCCGGCCAAAACAAAGAAAAAAAATAATAATCTAAAACTATTTGGTTAAGTAATTATATGTTATTTCCTTTTTTTTTTCTTTTGAGATGGTATCTCACTCAGTTGTCCTCAGTAGAGTGCCGTGGGATCATAGCTCACTGCTACCTTGAACTCTTGGGCTCAAGTTGTCTTTTTGCCTCAGTTTTTCTTTTTCTTTCTTTCTTTCTTTCTTTTTTTTTTTTTTGAAGACAGAGTCTTATTTTGTCTTGGTAGTGCTGGAGCATGATAGCTCATAGCAACCTCAAACTCTTGGGCTCCCGAGTAGCTGAGACTACACAGCACCTGCCACAATGTCCAGCTATTTTTAGAGGCAGGGTCTGGCTCTTGCTCAGGCTGGTCTCCTGAGCTCAAGTGATCCAGCTGCCTCAGCCTCCTATAGTGCTCAGATTATAGGCCTGAGCCCCGGTGCCCAGCCTGTATGTTAAGGCACCATTGAACAGCTCAAGTCGCTTTGACTCCCAAATGTTGCCAGCTGGTAGTCACTTGCCCAGCACCTCAGGTCCAGATAAAAGGAAAATGTATCTCATCCCTGAGACCAATGCTACAGTGTTGCCTGGCCTGGGAAGAGGAAATAAAAAGCATAAACAGTCTCCTCCCCTCTGGCTGGCTTCCCTGCCAGCCCATCCTGGGTTAGCCAGCCCTGACTTTGGCCTGTCCTGCACCTCACATGGGAAGATGTTCAGACTGTCGGCATGCTGGCAGGAAGGAGGAGGGTGAATTTAATATTCTGAACTGTACGCTGATCTTAAAGGTTGGTGTGCCTGTGTCACAGGGGCTCAGACGTTTGGAGCTAAAAGGAACCTTAGCATCTACATAAGCTTCAATTCACAGATGAGAAAACAAGAGCTAAAGGAGTAACAAACGTCAAACGTACAGCTGCGGTGCTGGGTGCTTCACAGTAATCACTGTATTACATTCTTGTGATAGCCCTATGAATTAAGCATTCTTATTATTCCCCACTTAAAAAATGAGGAATTTGAGGCTTTGTGGGATTAAATAACTTA